GTCACCAGCAAAGCCAAAATATGATGCAAAGTCTGTCTGAAGTACAGGGGTCTCAATCACCACATAATAATTATTATTTGGGCAAATGATTAAGGATAAAGGCAGCAAATCCCTTGGGTGGTAGCTTTTACTCATGCTTTGTCTGGAATTTATCACACAGGTTTTCTTTTGTTTTTAACAAAGTTTAGCACTTCTGTCAAGAAGGTTTTGCAAAATAAGGTTCAAACAGCTACTTTACTCCATTAGCTTAAAGGGAGAAATTCTCTCTACTAAGCTACAGGCAAGAAGAAACAGGAAGAGCAAACTTGGAGTTGCTCATAATATATGTTCCAAGAGTTCCTGACAAACTTTGATGTTTCTCACCAATGTTAGCAGAAAAATGCCTTAATAGGTGAGGAAAAAGGGAAATATCCTGAGGGAATGCATTGGAAGAGACTTGTTAAACCTGGAAGTCCCAAATGACTTAGAAGTTACAAAATTTTAGAGTTTCATGTTTCTGGGTAAAGAAGAATAGAGAATACCACTCACATTCCCTTACTAGACAAATTTGATAAAATTACTGAGATTTTTAAATGAAGCAATGTTGTTCATTTAGAGCACACTTTAACAGGCTGCAAATTATAATCCAAAGGTGTGCCTAGGCAGGGTGGCACAGCCAGAGCAGGCTCAGGTGATGTGGTTCACAGTAAAGGACTAAAGACGCTACTTATTAAAACATGGTTTAAATCATGGCAATTATATTTTCACACAATTTTGAAAATTAGCCAGCCATAAAATATGAAGGGACCACAGCAATAAAAAATTGTATAGCTGGATCTTAGCAGTTAGTTATTAGGTAAAAAGTATAGTTTCCAAAACTACAAACAGAATGATCCCTTCAGAATAATGTTAAAAACAGCTAAAATAAAAGAGGCACTTTAAAGGTATATGTGCAGATGGAATAAAGGAGCAAAAAGTCGAACAAGACTGATGAATACAGGATTCAGAACCATGGGTGCCCCAGACTGGAAAAAAAAGACTTAGGTGGCTCAGTGGTTGAGCATCTGCCTTGGGCTCAGGGCGTGACCCCAGGGTCCCGGGACCAAGTCCCATGTTGGGCTCCCTACATGGAGCCTGCTTCTCCCTCTGCCTGTGTCTCTGCCTCTCTGTGTGTGTCTCCCTCATGAATAAATTAATAAAATCTTAAAAAAAATAGAAGGCTTAAACTGTAGTAAGAAGCAGCCATTTACCAGATCTTAGTTTCTGTTCTGGATGATGCCTTTTCAGGTATTTGAATGCATAATTTAAAACAACTGAGTAATACAGATTAATAAATAAATTAATCAAAATGGGCCATGCATAGGCTGATCAACAATAGTCAATCATCAACCCAAAATCATGCGGCCCTAAATAAATGAATGAATGAATGAATGAAGAGTAAACACAGAACACCATAGCTGGCAAGAAATTTTAGTTTCTTCCAGTTGTTTTTTAATTATTTGTTTGTTTGCTTATTTTTAACCACTAGTAGCAAAAACACTGAAGCCAGTGTTCTTTTTCTCTCATAAAAATATCATCTTGATTTCATGGTAGCTTTGCTTCTGATTTGGGCTCATGAGCTCAAGGCACCTTCTCTTAAGACATTTTTTTCCTAGATGATTCATTTTTGTTTTTTATTTTTAATTGTGGTAAAATGGACATTACAAAATTTATCATCTTAGTCATATTTACAGTTCGATATTGTCAAATATATTCACTTTGTGCAACCAATTTTCAGAATTCTTTCATCTTGCAAAACTATAACTCTATACTTGCTGACTCTGAATATTATAGTGATTTTACAAAGGACAACTTTGTATCCTTGGACTGAAAATAAGGGGTATGCAGAATACATATCCATGATCTTTCAATGGGTTTAACCTTTAGCTTGTTTTATTTGGTTTCTAGTATAGATTAATATTTCTTTGAGTCTTTTCAATACATCAGACACCATTCTGTTTTTCATGATGGTAAATTTAATTTCATTTTATTTCTGAAATCCATTTCAGAAATAAATTTAGAAAAATAGCTATAGATATCTGTTCTAAATATCTTATTGGTATAAATTCTATTTAAAAAAAAGAAAAGGAAAATATGGATTTATTCTACATTAAGTAAATAAGATTTAAAGAGGAGAAAGATTATCAAAGGATGTTTTCACCCAACCAGCCTATTGGGTGATGACTTAAAGCGAATCATGAGATAAATGTTTCTAAAACTTATTATGAATACATTTGTTGAGGCTTCAGAAGGAGGGTGTTATTTAAAGAGGGAGTCGGGGAAGCAATCTTTATGTCTTCTTTGAAATCTACATGAAAGTTCCAAAGTTAGCACAGAATACGTATTGTTCTTTAATTATTTGTTTATTACACACATAATTACAAAGGGCCCTCGGTCTGCGGGGGGGTGTGGCAGTGAGTCAGGAAGATAGTTCTGCAACAGAGAAGGTAATTGGATTTCTCCAGGAGACACAGGTGAGCAGAGAGCTCTAAGGATTCAGCCACCGCACCCCGGGAGCACTAAAGGCCCACAAGGGGCCCACCAAGATACAGGGCCCGACTTTTGAGCCATTGTTCTCAATTACTTGCTCCGAACAGTCTCGACTCTAATTTTTTCTTAAGGACTTAACACTAAAATAGTAATTACAGATTCCTTCCTTCTCTTTGCAAAGGAATACAAATCTCTAAAAGATGTTTTAATGGTTTGTTGTACATTTTCAGCTATTAATTGTAAGTCATATAATTGTAAATTGAATTGATTGTAAGTCACATAATTGAAAATTGAAATGTGTCATCCTAGTTAACGAAGCAATAAAACTAAAATTACAAGCACCAGAGAATCAGGTTTTTGATTAGTGTGGGTAAATGTTCTACAAAGATACCCAAGCACTGAGAATTTGTTGAGCTCCAAAAACCAATTTTAATAAATCTTCTAATCTCTGTTTATAGCAGGTATTTGTTCCCAAAATGTTATCTCACTTTTCACCATTTACCTTCAATCCCATAATGTCTAGACCCGTTAAAAACAGAAATGATCCTTTAATCATTATTTTTGCACAGTAATTCTAAGATAGTATCACAAAGATAATTTTACTTCTTAAGATAACATAAGCCTTAAAAATAAAGATTCATTAAAATTATATATTGGCTTATTTTGACACAATGCTGTCAAGAATTTAGGAATCACAAATAGAATTACCTTAATAACAACAACCTAGGGGATATCTGATTATCTTCCAGACACAAAACATTTACTTAAAAGGGGGAAAAAAGAATCTTTGTAGTTGTGCCAATATTTAAAAGCTATCATTTTAATCATGAGTTATAGTGGGATTTTCTTTTACTTACCACCTAGTCATTAGAATAAAGGGCCTTCTAAAAAATATTCCTTTTAATTCTATGTTGGTAAAGAATTTAAAGAAGCAAAATTTCACTTAATTCAATCTAAAAATATAATAAAGCAAAGCAATAAGTAAAAACAGCAACAAAAAAACCCATGTACTTGCATGGGGTTGGCAGAAATATATTCAAGTAATATTTTTGTTCTTCAATAATCTTTTGAAGTGGCATATTTGACATATATATCACTACTCTGTATCTATATAAAAGTCTTCCATCATTTCCATGTTTTTCTAGTCAAATTGTGTGCACGCATGTGTGCATATATGTGGGTACATGTGCAGGGTGTGCACACTGGTGCATATACGTGTGTACGTGTGCAGGGTATGCATGCAGGTGACATATGTGTGTTCATGCATAGAGTGTGTGTGTACTTGTGTGCATATACGTGTGTACGTGCTCAGGGTGTGTGCGTACTTGTGTGCATATATGTGGGTGTGTGCGCAGGGTGTGTGCACATGGGTGCATATATGTGCATGTAGCATATGTGTGTGTGTTTGTAGGTGGATAGAGAGACAGATGCACACAGAGATACATCTAGAGAGAGATATTAACTCTGATTATACAACAACATATTTCATAAATATTCCCAAGTTTCAGCATAGTCTACCCGAAAGCCCAAGAAGTACCTAAGATCCTCAGGATATTTCAGCCCAGTCAGTACACTTAGAAATACAATGTCCACAAAATCCATAAAAACCCTTTTGGTCATTAGGTAATGTGAGCAGATTTGAAGCAGTGTATTAACATTCTCATTACTTCTGAATTTATTGGCAATAGAATGTCACACATGTTTTCTTGCACTTCAGACTGTGGTACGTGCAGTGTCACACTCTCTTAAAAGCTGCATGAGCAGGACAACAAGACACACACTCCTAAAGTTGATGCGGCTGTACGACTCCCTTCGAAAGTTACTGTGGATATTTTTCTTTCACTTATCAAAAAGAGACACACCAGAGGCAGAGATGCTACTTGCATAATTGCCATATTAAGTGTCCTGAAATAGTCCCATGGGACACTGGTTCTTAAACTAACACTGTATGACATACCGAAACCAGGCTGTAAGGTATCATTTTGGTGGGAAGTAGTCTTTGGAACCTTGGTACTTAGATACAAAGGATCTCAAATATGTACAAAGCTGAGAGCTGCTCTCTCTACCCGTATGGAGGACAGACATCAGAAATCAAATATATGTTCTCTGTGGATCCAGATGAGCCTGAGAATTTCTCTCAACATAATTATCCAGGGTGTAATTACTAATTGAACCACTACTAAATAATTTGGGGTTGAAAATTAATTTTGAGTGCTAATCTTATTGATCAAGTTAATGACAGAAAACTACTCTGAGAAACGAGTAAATTTATAAAATTTCTCCACTTGGAAGTGACAATTTATTGGTTGAGGTTTCAAAACAAGTGCATCTGATAAGTCAGTCTCCATGTCCTATAATTTACTGATTCAACTACTATAATTATGTTGCTTCCATAATATTTCACAGTTGAAACAGAACATTTCCAAAGGATTCATTTGTGTAAATTACACCTGGGAGGATCAAATATTAACGTCTAAAAAAATATATACGTAGTGCTCACTTTGGCAGATTTACTAAATGGAATGATACACAAAAGATTAGCATGGTACCTTTGCAAAGATGGCACATAAATTCAATCCTTATTACTATTTTTTTAAAGATTTTATTTATTTATTTGAGAGAGAGATCAAGGGTGAGAGACATGAGCTGGGGGAGGAGCGGAGGGTCAAGCTGACTCCCTGCTCAGCGGGGAGCTCAACGTGGAATTCAATCTCAGGACCCCAAGATCATGACCTGAGCCAAAGTCAGACACTTAACTGACTGAGCTATCCAGGTGCCCATTCAAATTGTTTTTTAAAAAAGAGAATAAAAATATATACATGTATATGTATTTTTTTCTTTCAGAGTTAGAGTGTAGATTCCCAGTATCATAAGAGATCACGCTAATAAAATGAATATTGTCCTCAGTGTCACTGTACATATATGCTCAGCTATTATAGTTTTATTTTAAACATATTTTAAAAGAGATATAATACTGATTTCCTTATGAAAGTATAATGGGAGCTGTATATGCATTTTAAAATACAACCTATGATCTGATTATCTTATACTGATTTTATTTGCTTATCTCTATCCCAAATCCAAAATGTTGTTTCTTTGTTTGTTCTTTGAAGCATTTTCACTTCCCTTTGAATGCAAACAACTCAAAAGTAAATACTGCAATGTCTCTAACAATTATTGTTTCATTCATAACTTATGTAACTCATTAACAGTTATCACTTAGTAAGGTGAAAATGTCAGGCAATTTATTTTTAATTATTTAATCTTAGGCAAGTTACAGAAACATTCAAATAATGATAAGGCCTATAACGACATCTTAAGGAAATTCTAATTATATCTGTTCTTTGTTACATCTTCGGAGAAGCAATTTAATTGACTCAAGTTAGCCAGTGCAAGGTCAGTCAAATGTCCCTTGGCTTAATTCAGAGAGGCCAGAACTGAACGGAATACACAGAAGGGAAACTTACAACTTGTTCATAAAATCTAATTAAGGACAAAAATTCAGAGCCCTAAAAACGCAGATGGGCGTCTCTATCAAAGAACAGTATTCAAGTTTGTGAATGGTTGTAAAAAAAAGTTGGGAAAATGTTGGTCTACGTGCCAATGGTAAAGGGTTAAAGGAGTAAAGACTGCTCTGGGTTCCAGGAACAGAGGGAGGTAGGAGATCTGAGCTCAATGAAAAATAAGGACAACAGCACCCAAAGTAGAGCTTGCATGATTGAAACTGGCGGGGGGCGAAGTTGCTATGGATGGGTTTTTTTGACTCTTAAGTTTGGGTATGACCTGCCCATGTTGCTTCCTTCATTAAGTCTTGGGCGAGAATTGTGTCTCCCTTTTCCTTCTCAGGACTCAGCTCAAATCTTCTTTCACAGTTAGCTTCTTCCACCTAATTTCTCTGAATGCTGATACACTTGTGTTTATCATATCCGTCTGCCACTTTCCTCTTGCAAGTAAATTTAGTTTGGAACCCTTTTCTGGTTGTAAAGATCAATGAAATGCAATGGAATTAGAATACTAAATTCGAGTCCCTACTTCACTGTTCATGAGCAGCTAATGCTGTGCTTTCAAATGTCACCTGAACACTCTCCTCAGAATGAATCAGTTCTCCTTGGAATATATCTGTCCTCCTCTGGATGATCCTTTCTTATATAAGTCCATTTTAATATCACTTCCTCAGAAAAATCCTTCTCTGAAGACCAGCTACTCCACTTGCCATTTGTAGCAATGTGAATGCAGCTAGAGAGTATCATGCTAAGCAAAAGAAGCCCATCAGAGACAAATAACATATGATTCTACTCATATGTGGAATTTAAGAAACAAAACAAACAAGCATACGAGGAAAAAAGAGAGAGAGGCAAACCAAGAAACAAACAACTAAAGAGAACAAATTGCTGGTTACCAGAGGGGAGGTGGGTAGGAGGACGGGTGAAATAGGGGATAGGGACTGAGGAATAGGATGCTTGCTGTGGTGAGCACCAGGTGTTGCATGCAAGTGTTGAGTTAGCATATCTACACCTGAAACTAATATTACACTCTATGTTAACTAACTGGAATTTAAATAGAAACTAAAATGAAGGAAGGAAGGAAGGAAGGAAGGAAGGAAGGAAGGAAGGAAGGAAGGAAGGAAGGAAGGAAGGAAGGAAGGAAGGAAGGAAGGGATGAGTGAATGAATGAATGAAGTCATTCCCCCCCGACCCCCAGGATCATCACCATAGTTTTTCACTACATTTAAGTGATATTCTCCTATTTGTTTCCTTTTTTCTTCTCCAACAAACACTCCCTTTAGAAACCAGAGGCACCATGAGGACAGAGACCCAACCAGTTTTATTCTCCATGGGATGCCTGGCCTTGGAAGGCCGCTGGAGACATGGCAGGAGCTCAGGAATCACATACTGCATGGAAGGGAGAGGAACACTAGAGTATCCTGCTACCTAAAAGAAACTTTAAGAAATCCACAAAGGTTAATTTTGAATTTGTGGTGCAGTCACACGTGAATTTGAGTGCAATTATGCTTGTGGACAGACAATATAATTCTGTACGAAACCCAGGTCACAGTCTTCATTGTCTTCCTAAGCATATGCCTCAAATATATGACTCCTTGAAATTTCGTGTCTACTGACCTCGAGGGACGAGGAGTGCTGCTTTGTGTCCTGCCTCTGTAGTGGCTGGCACAGTGTCACACGCCCAGGAAGCCCTCAGTACTTACTGAAAAGTGATCTGCGGAGTTTCCCTTAAAAGCAGAGACAGAGGAGGAGTTCTTGTCAGCGTTCCGGCAGGAGGCTGAGCCGTGTGACAGCACCCTGCCAGCGTGGCACAGTGACCAATGGGCCCCGCACATCAGTACCCGGGCTGGCAAGCTAGCACATCCCTGAACGAGGCGATTGTTTCACCGCTGGGTCACTGGACGGCATGTGCTCCGCAGGCACTGGGAAACAGATTAATCACCCTGAAAATAAGCAGGGTGCCGTGTAACAAAAGGTAATTTATTGGGATGTCCACCTGGTTTCCAATGTTCATATTTTCTTAATACTAAGTATTAAAAAAGGTGGCAATTTTCTTTTTTCAATGTCTTGATTTTAAGTGAGAAGTATTGATTCAGAGACTTTCACCCTAAATAATAGATTTACAGGGCAAAGCATTAGGGGGGAATGTCTTATTCAGCCATGATGTGAGTTAATGGGACTGGAGTCAGAAGGTCATTTGGACTTATAAAAGCATTTCTGCTTGTACTCAGTATAAAGCAAGCAAGTACAGGATCCTTGGGCATGAAAACTCTCTTGTTTTAGACTTCCTTATGGAAAGAAAAATAACAAAGCGCTTTTCATGCATGCTACACAGAGAATGGTGTTTAAATATTCCACCAAAAATTATTGTATTTAAAATTACAAAGTCATTTAGCTTGGTTATTTTCTTAAAATAAGTGCTTAAAAATAGGGGCACAGTTTGATGACCTTCAAGTAACCTAATTTTCATCATCACATACTGAGTTCATGTTAAATAAGAAGAAAAATAATCCAAAAATGGCATTATGATTGTTAGGTGGAAGAAAAATAACAATCACAATTATAAACATGGAATTACTTTACTAACATTCTGCTAAAAAGAGAAAAAAAAAAAACCTAATCCTCTTAAAGTATCTGAGTTCTAGCTTAATATTTCACGTTGATGTTTATACAATATTTCCCTTTAAATAATTTTGATTATTTTGTGGTTAAATAACCAACAGAGTCAAGTTCTGAAGCAAATGTGGGGACCGTGTGCAAGGCAAAATGAAGTTATGTCAAATTTTTTCACAAAAATATGGAATTATCTTAGGTAGGCTACATAATGTATATATTGCCCTCGTACAATGCTTTCTCATTTCGAAATCCATAGGAAAACGTCCTCCCTCGCCTAGAAGCATTTTTAGTATTTTTTATATTAGAAATGAACATGAATTACTTTAAATAGAAAAACTTCCTTGAACACTACAAGATTAACTAATTAGGTTCTTGGTGGGGCTTATTAAAAGATCTTAGCTAGGGATCCCTGGGTGGCTCAGTGGTTTAGCTCCTGCCTTTGGCCCAGGGTGTGATCCTGGAGACCCGGGATCCAATCCCATGTCAGGCTCCCTGCATGGAGCCTGCTTCTCCCTCTGCCTGTGTCTCTGCCTCTCTCTCTCTCTCTCTCTCTCTCTCTTTCTCATGAATAAATAAATTAAAAATCTTAAAAAAAAATCTTAGCTAACATAGCAATTCTTTGAACATTTTCTAATATTTTTAGAAAAGATTTTTATTTATTTGAGAGGGTATGCGGGCTGGGCAGAAGGAAAGGGAGAAGCAGGCTCCCAGAGAGCAGAGAACCCAAAGCAGGGCTCGATCTCAGGACCTTGGGATCATGACCTAAGCCAAAGGCAGATGTTCAATGGAATGAGCCACCCAGGCACCCCTAAATATTTTATATACAATATTTAATTTTGACACGTATGAGTTTCAAGAGAAATGATTTTTTAATTAATTAAAAAGGAACAAAGTTGATTAAATATTATCTCAAAATGAAAGTAAACTATTTGTAGATTAATTTCAAAGATAATTGAAAAAATAGAGTCAGATTCCAGCAGAAATCTATGGAAAAGCATGGGAAACAAGATGTAAAACCATATATGTTTTGTTTGAGGCTATTAATAGTTGAAAGGTAAATGATACCAATAATAATATTAATATTTTTCATTTGGTTGCCTCTATGGTTCTAATTTGTATGCTTCAGGAATATATATATAATGAGGAATATAATGAGGAGGTCCGTTAAATTTGGAGGTGAAACAACATCCCTTTGAGGGCTCATTTTAAGTAGTAAGTAGTAAGGCAAAATGTTAAAAGAGAAGTTTTAGCTGAGCAAAAATTCAAAAATGAGATGGTAGGTTAAGAAGCAAAAAATTTCATTGTAGGTGGCCAAGAATCCTATGGATGATTTCACCCACAATCAGCTATAAATACATGGAAACTGGAAATTAGAAAGTTTTTTCCTTTCTCTAGAGAAGAATATTTCATCTGAGACAATTCTAGTATGTGTCCTACAACCCCCAAAGTGAGGAGTAGGTGCCAGAAAAGGAGCT